TCGCTCTTTCCTTTCATCCCTTCTCACCTACACAAGAAAGACGGGGAAGGAAAACTCAACAGTGGCTGGAGGTTCGGGCAAAAATCTACTCCGCCATCTTCCTCGTTCTTCAAGTTTTACTAAAGGAAGAGACCAGATCAAGGAGGGCAACCGTATTCAAAGTTTGGGGATTTATTTTTAATGTCCGAGTAATCTAGAAAACAAACAAGAGTCTCTCCTCTCCTTCTGTGCCTCCCACAGTCACTGTGACAACAAAGAACACTTAGTAAATGCTTCCAGGTTGAACAGCACCCCACAGTGTAGCCCTGGTGTTCTGGATGTATGAGGGCCTTATACAGATAACCAATTCCTCAATCCCCAGGATGACTTCTATTACCAAAGAAAGTCCGAGGCCAACTCACAAAAAAATGATCAGTGATAGGCTAACAGAATGCAAACTGATCATAACAGGAGTCTGAGTGAGAGAAGGCTACAAAGGGCAAGTTTTCTCAAAATTCAGATACAGCGCTTCAAAAACAAACCTGTAAGAATGCTCTCCCCATTCCAAAAATCACATGCAAATCATAAACCTTACTCTTCCCTCAGATGAATCATGAATGGTTCCCACCAGTAAAGAAAAAGCATTTAGGGGCGCCTGGGTGGCGCAGTCGGTTAAGCGTCCGACTTCAGCCAGGTCACGATCTCGCGGTCCGTGAGTTCGAGCCCCGCGTCAGGCTCTGGGCTGATGGCTTGGAGCCTGGAGCCTGTTTCCGATTCTGTGTCTCCCTCTCTCTCTGCCCCTCCCCCGCTCATGCTCTGTCTCTCTCTGTCCCAAAAAAATAAATTAAAACGTTGAAAAAAAAAATTAAAAAAAAAAGAAAAAGCATTTATACATAGTAGGGGCTTGATGTTTTGGTTTGGGGGCTGGCAAATTACGGTCCATGGGCCAAACTGGCCCTCCATCAGTTTCTGTAAATTAAGTTTTATCGGAACACAGCCATACCCATTCATCTGCGTGTTGCCTGTGGCTGCTCTCACACTATATGGACCCAAACTATTTACATATTTGTGAGATGACCATTTGGCCCACAGAGCCTTAAGTATTTACTATATGTCCTTTAAGAAACTTTGCTTACTGTGTTCTTATGAGAGGGGCAGAGGCTAGGAAATCAGGGAGACCTACAGTGAAGCCCCAGTTCCATAATCGCTAGTAGAAATTATACCTCAAAATTCTGGGTGACCTCAGTTACTTCATGTACAAAATCAGGGTACCACCATCTACCTTGCATGGGTGCTGCGAAGATTAAATAGGTAACATCCCAGACATATGGTAACTTAGCAATAAATAGCAGCTATTAAACTGCAATTAATGCCAAATACAAATTTGCTTACCACTTTAAGAAATAATCAAATGTCGGGGAGCCTAGGTGGCTCAGTCGGTTAAGCGTCCGACTTCAGATCAGGTCATGATCTCATGCTCCGTGAGTTCGAGCCCCACGTCTGGCTCTGTGCTGACAGCTCAGAGCCTGGAGCCTGCTTCAGATTCTGTGGTCTCCCCCTCTCTCTGCCCTCCCCTGCTCATGCTCTGTCTCAAAAATAAATAAAAACATTAAAAAAAAATTTTTTTTTTTTTTAAAAAGGAAAGAAAGAATCAAATATAAAATGATTCAAGCACCAGCCAACTATTTTTTTAAGTGAGACACTGTGCTGACATTCAACTACATTCTCTGTTAAGGAACAATAATACCCAGGGCGCCTGGGTGGCTCAGTCAGTTGGGTGTCCGACTTCAGTTCAGGGCATGATCTCAAGTGTCATGAGTTCGAGCCCCAAGTTGGGCTTTGGGCTGACAGCTTGGAGCCCGGATCCTGCTTCAGATTCTCTCTCCCTCTCTCTCTGCCCCTCCCCCACTCACACTCTGTATCTCTCTCAAGAATAAACAAACATTAAAAAATTTTTTCTTTTAAGAAATAACAATACTCAAGTACTATTGTTTTAAAAGACTAAAATTGTTTCCCTTTTCTCCTATCCTTTTAGCCCTTAACTTAAAAAAATTCAAGAAGCCAAGCTGCAAAATTTTAACATAAAGTGAATCCTTTCAATCCATAATATATAAAACATGTCAAGGGACACCTGGATGGCTCAGTCAGTTAAGGGTCCAATCTCAGCTCAGGTCATGATCTCACGATCTGTGGGTTCGAGCCTCATGTCAGGCTCTATGCTACTGGCTTAGAGCCTGGGACCTGCTTCAGATTCTGTGTCTCCCTCTCTCTCTGCCCCTCCCAGGCTCATGCTCTGTCTCTCTCTCTCTCTCTCTCTCTCTCCCTCTCTCTCTCTCTCTTAAAAATAAATAAACGTTAAAATTTTTTTTAAAAAAACATATCAAATAAAACTGAAAATGCACATCAGGCTGTGAGAAATCCTGATCTATAATTTTAAAAGGGTGGGGGAGAGGTCTAAAAGGTAAGTTTCCAGATTTTGGTAAAGCCCCCAGGAGTACTTGCAGAACAGTCTAAGCTCCCAGGTTCACTCAAGAAACCAGTATTCATTGAGCACCTACTGTGTTCCAAGCTCTGGGCACCAGGTGTGCAAAGGGCAGTGTCATCACACTCAGTTTATAAAGAAAGGGGGTGCTCACTACCATGTAACATTAGAACCATATGACATGGCCAAGACCACAAAGCCATCAGTATGAAGTCATATAAGGTATTAGAGCTTGGAGTCCCGATTACCTAGTCAAACACCTGCACTGAAGAGACAGGTAAAGTGATTTGTCCATGATTACATGCAAGTCAGTAGCAAATGTCATCTCGCGGACTTCTTCCCACCAAGCTGTCTTCCTTAAAAATTCCTTTGTGAAAGGTCAAGTCTTAATCTTTCATGCTTTTGTGACCCGGAAGACGCTATTCTGAAAAAACTACCCAACCTTCAAGCACCTTGGATTCCTCCAGGCAGTGTTACCATGTTCTTCTGGCTTCCCACCCAGTCCGGTGGGTCTCCCACCTGTACTGAACTGCTCCCAATCTACTGTACTGTAAAACCCTTTGCTTGTTGATCAGTGCCAGACTATGAGCTCCTCGGAGGCAGGATCCAGTCTTGACACCGACTGCTAACGTCTGAGTGCTTGTTATGGGGCAGGAGCGGGACAACTTTATACACTCCTTCATTTAGTGCTTATAATAATTCTGTTATCCCAACACCGTAGATGAGGGAACCGGAGCCCGAGAGGTTAAGAGCTCACACAGTACAGCAGACCCTGTGGGCTACTTATTTAATAGCCATATTACCTCAGTCCCATCCCCAACTTCCTCCTTCAATCCATAATATACAAAAAACCTGAGTTTTGTACACCAACAGCAGTCTGCTATTGCACAGTCAGTATAGTGCAGTTGGAGCCAATCTCTGTTTCACTGTCTGCCTTTATGGAACTGAACACTTAGGGAGTGCTTGTTCACTCACCGACCCAGTACTTGTTGAGCAGGAGTCTGACAGGGCTCAAATATTCCCCCCTCCTTCACATGGGCACATGCTTCACTCCAAGGAGGCCGGACTCTTAAGATCAGGAGGTCAAGCATGATGATAGACAATAATCATGGACACCCATCCACTTTCCAGTAATGCTAGGGTGGGCAGGCAAAGCCATTCTGGCCAATTTGATGTAGAAGAGTCTGCTGGGGAGCTTCTGAGAGAGACACAAGCGGACACTCTCCTTCCCTGGACATTGCTTTAGCTACTGCAGGCTTCTTAAATTCTTACAGAAAATCACCTGACGTCCATACAGTGGCTTTAAGCCAATGAGTCAGACTTCAGTTACTCTCACCCAAAAGCATCATAATGTGCACACAAAGCAGCGGAACTGTGATCCAAACACAGATAAGGTGTCTCTAGACTAGACCCTCCACACCTCTCCTGTAACACTCCCACCATCCAGCACCAAGGCTGAGCACATAAGCAGCACGTGTAACTTCAGCTAAATGAATAAATAGGTGAATGAAATAGAAGTTAAGCTCACCTTTCAGAGACAGGATAACTTTTATGTGCAGTTGTAAGTAAAATATTAGGGTCGTAGGTCCCTTAATGAGTATAAAGCCTACTGACTCTTAGAGGAGACCAAGGTTTAATGCATTTGGAAAACAAGAGTCTGTAAACACCAGTTTCCAGGTCCAAACCAATCTCAGAAAACCGGGTCAATGAAAAAGGCACAAGAGATTCTGTTTCTCATGGGCTCCCTTCACAATGTTTATAGCACTTATTAGGAGTCATGCCGACACCCCAGTCTTCCACCCCAATCTTGACCCAAAGGGTCAAACTGAAAGAGAGAGGAAGGGGGAGGGGACAGGTAGAGAGAATGACATCTCTTCAGTGCTTCAAGTCCCATCTTTATTCATGAAAGCTCAGTCCTTGAATGGGTAAAACGGTCATTTGGGTCTTCGGACCCCTGCCTCCACCCACTACCCACCAAAGGCACATGCCCACCTTGATCTTTAGAAGCTGAAGGATCGCCTCCAGGCCATTGCATACAGGTTGCAGAAGAGTCCTTGGCAACCCATACTATTTTTGGCCAGGTACCTAGGCCAACTTCAACACAGTGACCTGAAGGTAAAATGCTCCACGTACTATAGCCAATTCTATTCCCCACAGGAAACCAGTGAATACATTTGCTTTTCCTGAAGGGCCACTCACCAACATCTCATGACCCATTCACTGCAAGATACAGCATTCGCTTCAACTTCAAGGCTGCAAATGCCTGTAAACTTTCCAACACAAGGGCCTCTCTTTACGTGTTCACTTGGCCTTCTCTCGAAGTGCTAAAGCATAAGGATTCTTCCAATCTCCAACAAGAATCAGAGTAAACTCTACTTGCTTCAGAATGAAATGTCCAAAAGCCACAACCAGAGTGTCCTACTGGAGGCCAAAGAATCCTGCTCATCTCTCCCAGAGGAATCCTTTCTCCTAAGGACCGATTCGGACCCACCAAGGCAGCCCGGCCACCTATACAAGTGCCTCCCGGAGCGCGACTTACCTTGTAATTGCTAGAGTTCACCCAAGAGGTAGCGAGCCCATCCACAAGTTTATCTAACATGGTCTGGTCATGCTCAAGGTCAGCAGACTTCTGTTTGTCTGAGAAATAGTCTATAAGTTCTTGGCCAACCTGCAGTCGTTTCCCCACATCCTTCTGCAACACCTGTGCCAGGCAGGACTCCATGCGAGGCTCCATGGTGGAATTCAAATCCAGATCCAGCAGAAGCTAGAGGGCAGTCAGGGTGACACCCTCCCAGTAAACGTACCCGGGAGGTTGCCTCTTTGTTCGCTGAGGGTTACTAAGAGCCTGTGTTTCAAAGATGCAATCCGGGGAATGGCAACAATGCACCATGTGTGTCTGAAGAGCAGCTGGTAGGATATTAAAAGTCCAATTTAAATAACTAGCAGGAGATAAAGGAGTGAGTGGCAGAGCGAGGTTCTACTCTTGGGTCTGAAATTCTTCATAATTCAGCAGTCCATCCTGAAAAGTAACAGAGAGCGACAAATCAGCACAGATAACGTAACATTCAAATGTTTTGAAACATTAAACCACAGACAAAGCAATTCGCGCTGCAGAATCATTTACAATCACAAGTGGAGTGAGAAGCATGAACGTTTGGCAACCATATCAGAATAACATCATTATTATTTTTATCAGGAAGAACATGGAAACCCAAAGCAAAGAGCCAATGAGCTACACAGTTGGTAGGTTGACGTTTTTCACAATTTTCCAGCTTGTAAATGCGCCAGTCAGGAAAGCAGTCTTCTGCTTCAGCTAGTATATTTATTCGTGGCTTCAATTTTGCTTCCCACCAAAAACTTAACCCCACTCTGCGTGTGAATCACTGTAGGTACTGTAGCTTATTCTTACTGCCTTACTCTGAGTTTTCTAAAAAACCCACTGCTGGAAATGGGGTGGGCGCCATAGAAAGACCACTGACCAAAGTGGCTGGCCTGGTAATGGGAACCAAAGACAGCATCTCCATCAAACTTCTTGCTCAGGAGCTTTACAACAGGGTGAGCAGTCATCCCTGCCTCGTCATCCTCCCTCCAAGAAAGAAAAGGGAGTGATGGGGGTGGGGGGACAGGGAGAGGAGAAGAGGGAACAGGCTCAATTCTGATCACTTACGGACAGTATCCTCAGCTGACAACAGCACCATTTGGACCTGGTGTTTGTTATAAAATCAGGAGATCTCAAAATCATGTTTGAGGGCAAAACACATGATTCGAGAAAAGTTACACTAACACTGTTTTCATCAGACTGAACAAGTTGAACAGTGAATCTATAGCTGCTGCAGCAACTGTCCACATTTATTTCTTATGCAATTTCTCCTTGTCTTCCAACCTAACAAGAGCCACAGAAAACCTGTCTTCCAGATGCAGCACCTCCCTGACACTGCAGGAACGAGAACTGTTCCGCACATCAGCAGTAAGTCCCAGCTCTCAGGGGTTCTAGCAGGCAAATAAATCAAGTAAAATTAAAATTCTGCACAGAATAATTCTTCCAGTCTGAGCACAGAGATTCTTTTCCTTTCTGACATCACCTCATCCGTCCCTACGCTCGGTATAAAAAGCACAATGCGATGGGGCGCCTGCCTGAGTGGCTCAGTCGGTTAAGTGTCCGACTTCAGCTCAAGTCATGTTCTCATGGCTCGTGGGTTCGAGCCCCATGCTGGGCTCTGTGCTGACAGCTCGGAGCCTGGACCCTGCTTCGGATTCTGTGTCTCCCTCTCACTCTGCCCCTCCCCTGCTCATGCTCTGTCTCTCTCAAGAATAAACAAACATTTAAAAAACAAAAACAAAAAAACAGCACAATGCACTTTCTGAGTTCTAGAATCAGAGACTTCTGACACCGGCAGTAATCATTCAAGTCGAGTCATTCAGTGAGGAAGACCCTCCTTCAAAGTCCCTGACACATGACTGATTACCCATCTTCTACATGCATGGTGCTGGGGGCAGGACGGCCCTCGAGAAGACCCTGCTTCACACGGCGGAGGAGACAGCCGCTCTCCATCACTTCCACACCGTGGAACTGGTCCCTCCTTCAGAAGAAGGACCTTCAAATACATAAAAGCGTCTATTACCCTTTATTCCAATTTTTAAGCCAAACAAAATAACCACAGCTCCTTAATCAGCTATGTTGAGCTTTATAAAGGAGGCATCAGTGATACAGGAAAACTGGACAAACAGAACCTTTTCTTTTCTCTGTCCAATATCAGCCCAAGAAGCAAATCAAACAAGATTGGGCTTGTGGTGGATTAAAAATGGCCACAAATTCTTTGCTTCTCTTCCCTCATCAAGGTGGGGCCTAAGTCCTCTCCCACAGTGACTCTGGGGTTGGCCCTGTGACTTGCTTTGGCCGGTGGGGAACCAGCCACTGCAAAAGGAAGCAGAGATTTGAGAGGCAAGTGCTGCCGCCCACCCTTAGAATGCTGCCCAGGGCCCGCCATGCTGGGAGGAAGCTCCTGGAACCTGAGAGGCCATGTGGAAGGCAAGCAGCACGCTCCAGCCGACGGTCAGAAGCAGCCGCCAGACGTGGGAGTGAGTCCGTCAGGGACCGCTTAGCCATTTCAGTCATCATCTGACTGCAGCTACACAAGTCTGAGGAGACAAGCAAAAGACCACCCAGCCAAACCACAGATTCTAAGAGGTAACATCTCGTTGTTGCTGTAAGCCACAGGTCTGCAGTGGTTTGTTACACACCCGCAGATATCAGATGCACTCTGCCCTCCCCCAAACATCTATCTTTCCTTCTCAGTGACAACAATCTCCTATCCTTTACTCCTCCGAGGACCTAAAATCAACGGACACTAACCAATAATGATAATGATCACACAACTTTGAAGCCTCTACTTGAGGTGTCAAGTTCAATGCCAGATGATGTATATGGACTGCCTTTAATTCTCCAACCAACTGTAAAAAGTAGGTATTAGCATCCCTATTTTACAGATGAAGAAACTGAGGAAAAGTACAGGTAAGTAAATTTCTAAGGCCACATGGCCACTTAGTTTCCTCTCCCCACCTTCAAACCCTTGTGATTACAAGCGTGGCCTAGTTCTGTTCTCACTCAGGGAAAGGAGGTCAGACATCATGCTCAGCTAGGAAGTAACAGGCAAGAGAATGCGGTCTCCATTGCTGGGAGAGGAATGATTCTGTTCATTTCAGCCTCTCTATAATTTTTAAAATACGTATTATATATAAAAAGCTCCCCTGCCCTAAGAATTGTATAGGATTTCCAACAAATAAAACTATATGCTTCTTGAGGGTAATTATGCAATAAAGGCTTAAGATACTCAAAAGTAGGTCACAAACTCCTATGTACAAAACCCACAGAATGAAAGACACTGTTAGTCCCTAAGCGTTAAGCAGATTGGGTCCTCTCTACTCTTTTTCTCCTTAACTTAAAAAAAAAAGGGGGGGGGGGGTGGCGCCTGGGTGGCTCAGTCGGTTGAGTGTCCGACTTCGGCTCAGGTCATGATCTCTCGGTCTGTGAGTTTGAGCCCCGCATCGGGCTCTGTGCTGACAGCTCAGAGCCTGGAGCCTGCTTCGGATTCTGTGTCTCCCTCTCTCTCTGCCCCTCCCCTGCTCATGCTCTGTTTCTCTGTCAAAAGTAAATAAACATTAAAAAAATTAAAAAAAAAAAAAAGTAACTGATACTCTCGAGCATTTTCTCCATCTCTGCTTTCAGAAGCATTCAGGGAGTATCAATCACATAGTCCCAAATTCACAAGGTACAAAAGTATAAAACCTCCCTCCCACTCCTGCCCCCCAGCCACCTAGTTTCCCTAACAGCAAATAATGTCACCAGTTTCCTGTGTACCCTTGCAGAGATATTTTTAGTGACCCAGGTAAATAAATATGTGCCTTTCTCCCTGTACCCCCTGGGAATTTTCTAAACCAACAAAAACACCAGCAAAACTTCATACAGCAACAGAATTATACAAAAACATTCTTAAAAAAAAAAAAAACACGTTATATTAAAAGATGCAGAAAATAGAATATAAACAAACGGGGGGAGGAGGAGGTAAGACATCTCTTCCTTCCAGCCACATCCTGTCCAGGCTCTCTACCAGGGAAAAGCCCAACAAGGAAACACGTCTCAAGTTAACCTGCAGTCCCAGAGGTGACCTATGGTTAGACCAAATAAAAACCAGGTCTGTTATGTGCAAGGCATTGCTGGAAGGCACGGGGACGCGATAAACAGGACTCAGCACTTGCCCAGAGAGACCTTACGAACCGGCACAGCGTCTGTTCACGATCGGTCATCAGTTCTGAAATCATCATTTGAGGGCGCGGTGTCGCACAGAGGACTACCTGACAGCAGTGCTAGTGTTAGGAATTACTCAGACTGTTGGAATGAGTAAGTCACGGGGATGAAAGTGACAGCACAGGGAATACAGTCAGCAGCACTGTGTGGAGACAGACGGTGGCTACCCTTGTGGGGAGCACCAGCATAATGTACAGACTTACGCAATCACTATATTATACACCTGAAACTGATGTAACATTGCGTGTCAACTGTACTTCAATTAAAAACAAAAACAAAAACAAAATGACTCAGAATGTAACACTATTTGTAAGTTTAAAAAAAAGTCCCACTTGCACACGTTTTCCAAAATAATAAGAGAATGTAAAAATGATACAAAAGAAAAGGCAGGTGAGGTTAGAATGGCCAACTACCTTTCCTCCTCTTGATGTATTACGCTAAGTGCTCTCCTTGAGCAAGATCTCACCACGAAAGCCATGGAGCCACTAGACCTTACGTATCAGTTCCTGGGAAAAGGGACACATGCCAGGTGTTTCCAAAAAAATGCCCCAACTCCTCTTAAACTCCTCCTCCCCAACTGCAAAGGGCTCTTCCATTCCCCAGCATCACCCTTCTCTGCCCCCTGCTACGGTATAAGCACCTCAACCTTTTCCTGCCGCATCATCTTGGTCTAAACCAGGGGCGGGGGGGAGGGGGGGCGGGGGGA